CTTCATTTCCCCAATACTAATTTCTCCCTAGTGTTACTCACACCTTCTTGTCAACTGTCTGTAATGGGCCACTCTCTTACCACTTCAAAAGTTATTTTTCCTCCCTTGGTATCCTGCTGTTAATTGAGTTATCTCGGTAGACTGACCTCACACTTGGTAAAGCAACCCCCATCCTTTCATGTATTTATACCTGCTCCTGTATTTTTCACTTCATGCATCTGATGAAGTAGGTTCTAGCCCACGAAAGCTTATGCCCAAATAAATTTGTTAGTCTCCAAGGTGCCACAAAGACTCCTCATTGTTTTTGCTAATACAGACTAACACGGCTACCACTCTGAAACCTATAATATAGAGGAGATTTGATTCTTAATTATGAGAATCTTACATTCTTTTAATGTATGAAGGAAACTTTAGTGAATTTACATTATTTTTAAGAGTGATTCCCAAGAGAGGCCCTAAAAATACTCCTTTGTTTTTAATATGGCATTTTGCTTGAACTATAACTCTCTCTGCTGATACAAGAGAAAGCTTTCTTTTAGAGTAATATGGGACTGAGCTCCAGAGTCAGGAAGGAGTCCTCCTTTGCTTTCAAAGCTCCCTTCTAGATACCCTTTAGTCCCCATCAATAAAAGCAGCTTTAACGAGTCTTCCTCCCTCTCAATGGCCTCTACGTGTTGAATATACCATACCTCAAATAAAGTTGCATTGTCCTAAAGGCTACATGTATCAAGCGATTGCTACTTAACCCCAGGTCTCCCAAATAAAATTGTCCTATTACTTCTGCAGAGATATCAAATACTGATTTGAAATCACAGGAAACTACTATGGTTGTATTTTTTTAAATGGTTTACCAGACTTTTTTAATGAATAGAAAATTATGTGTGGGAGGAAATAACTGGATGATTCTGGGGAATAGGGTCTATATCCTCTTACTTTACTATTTGGGTCGCCAGTTTGAATCTAGATCAGGTAGATACTAGTGGTTTTTGTAATGCCTAAGATTCCCTATCATCCAGTGTTCAAATGAGGAGCAATGGGAGGAGTGGTTATGCCATATCCTTTCATCTTCAGTTGGAAAAAAGACAAATTCAGAAATAAACTGCAGTTTGAGAAGTGTATCCAAGCCTGACAGTGTCCTTTATCCCAATCACCACAAGCATAAGTGACCTCTCAGAATAGGATTTTTGTGGTTGATTAGTTCAAAGGCTGTTCTGCAGGTTCTGTAGCTCAGCACCCAGAGATAAAAATGCCATTCCTTTTCATTACATCCTGAGACTTTCAAATTCCATCAATTTATGGGATTATGTAGAGTCACTTCCAACCAATGGCCATATTAGGAAGTCGGAAAAATTAATGGGAGGAGAGGGAAGGGATAGAGATGCTTAGGGCATCCATTGAGATCTCTGCATTGTGCAGAAAGATTCTCTGTGGGTAATAATCAGCAAACCCTATTTACAACGAGCCCTGGCATTGTGAAAACTGTAAGAAACCCCCCCCCCCTTTTTAAAGAATCTTTTAAAAAGATTTAGCTTTTAAAGCATTTTGATCAGAAATCACGGTTGTACCTCTGCCCCCTTCATGGCCTCCTCAAGGGCACCCCCTTGGGTCTCAGCCCAGAGTTTTAAGGCTGCATCCCCCTTGCAATTCATTGTGCTTGTCCCAGCAGGTCTGACTTTGGGTCAGTGCCTGTGGTTCTGCTTTCTCTCAGGAACAATGACAGAGGTAACCAGCAACCCACCAGCTTTCACATAGCACAGTACATACATTTATTTAGAACAAAAGCATTACAGAGAAAACTGTCTACATGCACATTAAACTTACCAGGTATTTCCCATCATCTGCACAGGATCCTGGTAGGTCCTCACTTAAGTCTGGCAGTTCTTTGTTCCAAAGTGAGTCGGAGGCTGAGTTAGAGCAGGCTGACTCTTTATACAGGTTGGAGGCCTTTACCTCCCAGGCCTCCTGAAACAGGTAAAACCAGTCAATGCCATTTCCCCCAGGGGGATAATCTTGAAAGGGTTGTGTATCTACATAACCAGCATTGGGAATTTGCATTAATTACACACCCCCAATGATTCCAGAGTCCACAGGAAACCCACCCAGTGAGCCAGGAACACAAATATACATACACTGCTTATTGATACAATAGGTTGGGAATATCGTATGTGCCCATAGCATCTGACACATCTCAATAAAATAGTCTTTAAAGTTTTCATGTTTGCAAGGTCTCACATCTATCATGACCAGAAACACGGCATAGGCCCACCAATGCTCAGTCAGTATTCTTACTCAGATGTAGGCCTCTTAAATGATACATGGGTAAAGAGAAAATACCTTCCAGGCTTGCCATTTTTCTGTTAACAGCCAAGCTGAGTGCAGAGAAAAGATCCAAAAACCTCTATGATCTGTTAACGATCCATGACCACAGAGGCTACAATCATCAGCCAGACACATACATAAATGAGAAATAGTACTAATAGCCTTTGCCTCCAGAAAAACAAGACCTCTACCCATTTAGTAAAGAAGGATCTTCCTTATGTGCCAGTAGTTAGTAACATTTATGTCCTTTTCTCAGGCCTCTGGCCACTAGAAGACATCATAATTAAAAAACCAATGTTCACTTCAGCAGGCCTGATATTATACATCCAGAAGGGAGCAGAGCGCACTTACTGTGTGTGTATGTGGCAGCACACAGCACTGTGGAAGGCAATGGATTCTAGTGCAGTGAACATACTGAGAAGTGAAATAGTGATGAAGGGGCTGATTTTTAAAAGATTTACAGTTCTATTGAAGTCAATGTGGCTACTCACATTGTATAAAGTTAAGCAAGGGTATAAGTCTTTGAAGGATCCGGGCCTAAAAGACCACTTCAAATGCTTTGTCTTTTAGTCCTAGTTGTTTTGCTTAAGCATATGTGTTTTGGAAAATAATGTTCACCTTGGATATAATTGAAGTGCTCAAAGAGCCAGTTTAAGCAGTATTACCAGGGTTATAGATATTAGGTACAGTGTGTGTAAGAGAACTTGATGAAAGAAACTCACCCAGCAACCCTCATTTACACAAAAAAGCAAATCCTTTAATTTTCAAGCATCAAAAGGCACTTACAATTTTTGAGGAAAGCACTTCATTTCAAAATAAGCACTCTGCTTCAGAAAGACAGCTGAAGTAGTCCAACATTTCAAAGATGAATTTGCTTCTGCTCTTTATTTTCTCCTGACAAACTTAAACCAAAGTGTTTGTGCGTATTTGAGACAGGTCTACCTGCCTATTAACATTGCCTTCTGTTAGTTAAGGTATTTTACTATTTACTCAGAATTTTTTTTTTACTTTAAATATACCAGGGGGTAGCTGCAAAAACTAGTATGTTTTATTTTTGCTCCTTATTGAAAAGCACACAGTTCCCCAACAAACTGAACCCCACATCAGGCAAATGCCAGAGGAAAAGTATGGTTCTTGCAGAATGCTATAGCAGCAAACTTGGTCTCTGTTGGGGACAGCAAATTCAAGAGTAAGGTTTGACTATGAATTTAATTTCATTTCTCTGACAATGGCCAGCTTCCAGCCCCTGAATTTTAAAGCTAGGCCCTGTTAGTGGGAGCAGCCCAGCTAACAGCAAATGCTGAGTGGTTACATGGGGGAAGATCAGGTTCTCAGGGAACCAGAACCCAAGCCAGGTTGGTTGGAATCCTTCTGTGAATACTATTGGAAATTAACTATAGGTTGGCTAGTGCAACAAAACACAAGTTTTGCCCTGCTGTTGAGCTACAGAGGTGAACCTAAACACATTAACGTGGGCCTGATCCAAAGTGTAATGAAGTCAATGGAAAAATTCCTGCTGACTTTAGTGGGCTTTGGATCAGGTCCACTGTGAGCCAAGTATTTCAATTTGCTTCTATGTGTATTGTATGGAGGGAGATGAACTACACTGAACCATATGCATTTGCTTGAGACTACAAAGAAACTAAAAACTATTCATTTCAGGCCTGATTGGAGTCTCCCTTGACTTCATGGGGATTGGATCAGGTCCTTCAACACCATTCCAATTTCTGTTAATCATGCGTCTCTTGCGGGTACAGCTTCTCGGGTGTAAAGCCAGTTTTTTTCTACAGTAATCCAATTAGTTGCATAACTGTTCAGCACATCTGTTTAAATAGTTTATAACTGGCAAGGCACAGAGCTTTGGGCTTGATCTGGCCAGGTGCTGAGTTTCCTCCGTTTCCAGTGGCAGCAATGGGAGTTGAGAGTTCTCAATACCATGAAGGTTTCTTTCTGTCTGTGTGTTTGTCTCATCTACCTATTTATCATTTTATATCACATTCATCGCCATGGTATTGGGAGAGTCTTTTCCTTGCTGGTTCTTGTGCAATAACACAAAGCTGTAATGTTAGGGTTGTAATTACCAAAGAGGAATGCTTAAATCCCAACAAAATGTGGATTTTAGTGAAATAATAAACACAAGAAAAAAGTTTTAATACTTGATTCTGTCAACCTTTCCCTCAGCCCAAAACTTAAATTTGAGGCCTAAAGTATGTGTTAATAGAGATGGTTAAATAATGTTAAAAGATTTCACAAAAAATGGAAATTTCAGTTTTATGTTATATATTTTAACAAAGTTTTTACTTAAACTTTTATTGCAATCATTTCCAAAATAATTTCTGTATCAAAAAATGAGGTTTCAGTGTGGAAAATACAGTTTTTTGGCAAACAAAATTGTTGTATCATGCATTTAAAAATGATTTTCATAAAATTGTTGGTGAAAAGCTCAATAAAAAATATCACAGAAAATGTGAAAAATGGAAAATCTCAACAATTTTGTTTTTTAAAAAAGGCTGATTTTTTTTTTAACAAAAAATCTTTTTGGGTTGCAAAATTTCAATCAGCTATATCTGACATGGTTTCTTTTACTCTGTTGAATATGATTATAGGGCACGTGCTCTTCTTGCCTTTTGTTCATATTACAGATGCAGATAGGATGTACCAAAACCATATAAATCAATTTATATCAATCAGACAATATCAGTGTATATTGCATGTATTCTTGGCTATACTGCATGTATATGTGGCTAAAATATCATAATCAGACAAATGCATATGAGCAGAATTTAATTGACAAGGTAACAGCCTAAAAATAACTAAACTCAGAAATATTTTCCACCCGGTGCTAAACAATTAGATTTTAACATGATAATTATGCAGTTAGGTACTTTCTCCTGCAAAAATCAGGTAAATTAAAATATATCTCTCCTGTGAGAAACCCACAAGTCACCCTTTTTAAGTTCTTTTGTTACTATCTTTAAAATTCTTAACTCTTGCATCATTGATTTAAGTATCCTCTGAAATGTGTAATTGCAAAAACATTTTGAAAATTAAAATGCTTACATATTTGTACCCATTCATTACTACTGAGGTGTTAAAATAATTTATTCCATTATATTAACGGTTGCTTGATGCATCAAAAGATAATTTGCCATGTAATTTTGTTAAACCTGAAACTGTGGCGTATTTTCTTGATAATACCATTAATATATCAAGAGTAAATAAAATGTTTAGTGGTAGGCACATTAATTATTGCCTTCATCTACTGGTGTTTAAAACTAAGAAATAATTAAATGTGCTTTAATAAGATATGGTTCCGGGAAAGCAGGATCATTTATGAATTGCTAGAGGTGCATAGAGCTGCCTTTCCCTTGAGAGACGGAATTTATGCCGAACACCCCGCTGATTGTTCAGGAGGTAAAGAACCAATAGCTGCATGTACAGAGGTTTAATTTAAAGTGTGTTTCTCACTAGGCTGCTCACAACACTTAATTAAACTCTGCTGTTTTGGCAATGACAAATGCTGTAGTGCAAAAGGAACCAGAGTAGCAGTGACTGAGAAGCTTTTGTAATTTCTTTCATGTGCACTGGCAGCAAGATTCAGGTCAGAAAAGAAAGGAAGAATAAAAGAAGATTTATTTAAGGTGTTTGATGAAAGTTGCCACTTTTAAGCATCTGTTTTAAGCACTGTAGAATGTATCTTTACTTGAGGATTTAATCAAGCAATGTTTATGGATATTATGGCATGTGGCCATATAAAACAGTCTGCAGCCACTTCTCAGCCTTTTCATCTGAGCAAGATCCTGTTCATCTTTGGCTTATTCTTAAAAAGTTAAAATAATAGAAGGTTCCCAGACACTTACATTCTTCATTCATTACTTAGACAAAATTTCTGTTGACTTCAGATATGGGCACATCAATAACGTGTTTATGAATTCTACACTCTATCTAAATAATGTATATATTATAATATAAATACACCTCTACCCCGATATAACGCTGTCCTCTGGAGCCAAAAAATCATACCGCGTTATAGGTGAAACCGCGTTATATCGAACTTGCTTTGATCCGCCGGAGTGCGCAGCCCCCCCCCCTGGAGCACTGCTTTACCGCGTTATATCTGAATTCGTATTATATCGGGTCGTGTTATATCGGGGTAGAAGTGTAATTAAAAGCAATAGACCTATAATCACAATTTTTGGACAGATTGTGCTTTATTATTCAGTAATGTTTGTTAATTGACATAATTTCACTCATTATTAAATGAAGATCTGTTTTGCAGATTTCTGCTGTTAAATGGAAGGTTAAAATATTAGGACATACTTTGCAGATATATTAATCATTCTCTCCCTCCCCCCCCATTTGTATATACATGACTAGTATGTTGTACTGTATGCTACATTACACTCTATACTGTATTTAGTTATTTATTCCATATGTATATACATACAACTTAACATGGAAAATATAATGTGTATCACCATTATATAGTGCCTTTTAATTGAGATAAACAAAAAATCTGTGAAGCAGCATTCAGTGACAATACAAAAGTTTTTCTTTTCTCACTCTTACTAATCATAGTTGAGTGATAAATTCATAGAACAGTAAAACACTTTTTGAGGATTTGTTTCACAATTTCTTAGAATAAGAATACCAAGAAGTACTGTGTTTAAAAGCCCATGAGATAATAATAAACTATAGTTGTAGAGCTTGTTAAAATAGGACTTAAGGTTTTTTTTACACAAAATATTACATCAAGGCAGAAAAATGGTTTAGAAATGTTCCCTGCAAACTTTGTTTTAATTGCTGACAATGAATGTGTTTGTGGAGATAGAGGGGGAAAGGTTGGCCACATTTAAAACTTTTCCTGAAATAGAACTGCTCATGTCAATAAAGTTAAGTAAGAGGATAGATCATTGCAGGATCAGGGCCTAAGTAATAATCCCTCTTATTTATATAGGGGCTGATAAGGAAACTGCAAGATGAAATAGTGGTATTGATTTCCTAGTTCTTCATGTGATGCTCCTGCTCCCTCT